AACAGTGATAATAATAGCACATTGAAATATTCAGTAAGAAATATATTGGGCATAGAATAACGTCTTAATTCTTCCGCAGCACGTAATGCTGTGTTTACTGCAAGGTCAGTTAAGTTACTATAAGAGATTTTTAATGAAAACAATTATAAATTTAAAATAACTGTGTTTAAAGCATTTAACAGTCACTAAGGTCAAGTGATTACAGCAGTTACAAGACCCAGGGGACATGTTCACACCAAAACAAAGTGAATAAATTACCTCAGCCAGTGTATGTAATCACTAAGTGACCACAGAGGTTATTCAGTGTATGAGCCCAGATGACTTTCATGCAAAACCAATAATGAAAATTTACCAGCCAAAGGGAAAAAAGCGTAAGAATTAGTAAAAGTTGCAGGAAGGGCTAAGAGCTGGGAAGAACGGGAAGAAGGGCATGGAAAGCGTGTTCTGTGATTTGGCTGCTGAGATGAGGAAGAAGGATAAAGGGCTAATGAAACGGATGGACAAGATGCTGAACATTTTTCTCAGGTGATGTACCTGAAGAGTTGCAAAGAGATGCAAGACCTGCAAAAACTAAAATTGCAGGCTTGACAGAAGTGCTTTCAGCCTTATATAATTCTGTCATATGTAACACCCAGTGAAGTACAAGTGAGGCGGGGGTTAAGAATAATCATCTTTTAACTTTTCCCTTGGCTTTATTGCCAAGAAAGTTATGGAGAGTTACTGTGGTTTAGTCAGCCTATTATATATGATGTATGATATATATTAATTACATATTTATATATATTTTATATATATAAAAATATCATCCTAGTGGAGATGAGGCCCTGTAGTTTTACCACAGAGCAGGTAAAATAAACTGTAGAATGAAGCCTAGCTTTGATCTCACTTCTCTCCCTCAAGGTATAAACACAAATGCCTTCATTACTGCTTTACAACACGACTGCCAGTGAAGAAAACCATGCACACAAAAGATATGAAAATCCCTTTCTCTAATGACAGAGTTGTATTTGATGGGAGTTCTCAGCACGTTGCTTTGGAATGAGGTTCCCACTAACGATGATGAAAAAAGATGTCTCCCACTCTATGGCAGAAGGAAAAGGAATCCTGCTTGTTCCTGCCTGCTGCTGTATGTATTTGTTGAACAATGACATGTCATCACCTCACAACCGTGAAGGTACTAATCTTCATAATACATATAGTAAACAGTAAAATGCAGTTACTCCCAATTTGCAGATAGGAGCCTGAAATGAAGTGTTTTGAGATGAGGAGAGGACAGCACTGAAGTAAGTATTCACTAGTGCAATAAAATTCTGCAGGCAAAGCAATTTGCTGCCTCACGTTATGCCAGAAACCTAGTAACTGTTTGTCATATACACACCTTTCCTCTCTTATGAGGAAAGGCTGAGAGACCTGAGCCTGTTTAGCCTGGAGAAGAGAAGACTGAAGGGGGATCTTACCAATGCTTATAAATAAGGGGCGGGAGTCAAGAGGATGGGGCCAGTCTCATTTCAGTGGTGCCCAGTGACAGGACAAGGGGCAATGGGCACAAACTGGAACACAGAAAGTTCAAGCTCAACACGAGGAAAAACTTCTTTACAATGAGGGTGACAGAGCACTGGAACAGGCTGCCCAGAAAGGTTGTGAAGTCTCCTTCTCTGGAGACGTTCAAAACCCGCCTGGACGCGTTCCTGTGCAACCTCCTGTATGTGAATCTCCTTTAGCAGGTGGTTTGGACTAGGTGATCTCCAGAAGTCCCTTCCAACCCCTACCATTCCGTGATTCTGTGATATGAAAATGCAAGTGGACTCTATGCACGTTTAAAAAAAATAACAAAAGAAGTTTTCTCTGTACGTGAAATATGAAAGCCTGAGGCCAAAGCCAGTAAGTCCTCACATAGTCAAAGCTTCCAGATTCAGTGACACTGACTGCCAAATAATGCAAAGCCTGCTTTCTCAGCTATATACTGTACTGATGTATTGGGTTTTCTGTGAGGGGTTTTTGGTTGTGTCTTTGATAATGGGGCAAGGGCTATGGAGACAGCCCTTCAAGAAGCTACCTGAAAAGCCCCCCCTTTCCTTTGTCAGACCCACCTCTGACCAGGGCCAAATCAATCAGCGCCCCTGCAAATTCATGTATTTAAGGGGGGTGCAGGGCATGCTCTGTCTCTCTCTGGCACCGGCCCTGACCAGCACAGCCCCAGGTGCGGGTGGTGCGACCCTGGCCCTGTCCGGCTGGGCTGGGCTGGGCTGGCCC